AAGGCAGGATTCTGGCTAAGTCGATTGATTATATTTTTCGGTTTGTTCGGATGTTTCTGACCGTGTGGTACTGTTTTCTTTTCCCGGAATTGGGAAATGTCAGCGTAGCGGTCTGGATTTGGCCATTTTGTGGTTGGACTAATAATTCCCAATGCCTGCACCTAAGCTGGTAATGGTCCCAGTAATTTTTGTCCTTGTTTCCGAACTTTCCGGGTTGAGATGTGGAGGGATTCCCGGCCTCCTTTTTCTTGTGCGTTAATGAATAAGCTGAGTCTCTTTGTTAAAAAAAATATAATAATAAAAAAAAAAATGAAGAGTTGCCAGAATCCCGTACGAAAATGGCAAATGGAAGGAGGCTCGTACAGTTTCTCTAGAAAAACGCCTTTTGGGGGAACAAGAGGGTCGTTGAGCTGGCTGTCTCGAAAAAAGGAGACAGCTAGCTGTCATGAGGGTAGGGGGCGTAGCAATTGAAAGAAAGGATTTACTCCTTTTTGTTGGAAGAAAAAGAGAATATAATCTCTGTTGCCTTTTTTATTAAAATCCGACCGCTAGATCACTTGGACTAGGTGCATCTCCGTGGCCGCCTACAGTCACACAGGGTCGAAAACTAAAAGTTGACCTAGCTCAACGGAGCTACTGGGACATGGTCCTGGAGAGCAAACAACATTAGACCTCCTATGTGCTTGTACTCGAACATTGGCGCGGGCCAGTTGAAACCTGGAAAAAAAAAGAACGCACAAAATGGAAGAGGACAGGCGTCGTGCGCCCAATCAGAACCTGCTAAGCGCTTGCTTTGGATGTAGTTCGGGAGCACGGTTCCACTAGCAAAGAGTAAGGTAAACTGTGTCCCACAAACACCTTTGGGACATCTGCGGGACATCGTCCGACTCCCAAGAATGGGAGGCGGGACAAGAAAATAGAAAGACTCATTTTGATTGGCAGCTCTTCAAAAGATGAAAAAATCAAGTACTCGAAGAGCATGTTTTTGACCCCCTTCTTTTCCCTGGTCAATTGTTAACCCCGTCTAGTACTTCGATTTTCTCTCAAAATATACGAAATGCACGCTTTGGCATGGCAACCGTCAGAGAAGGTTGTCCCATCAAGCACACGAAGGGACTCAGTCACGTACCACTCTGTCCTGATTAGGCATTGGCTGGGTGGGGAGCAGGGGGACGAGACAGGAGGATTAGTGGGACGGCAGCACTTTCAAAAGCCGGCCTCCTTCCCATCTTGGGAAATGTAAAGTCTCCATTTTTCTTTTTGTCTCGCCTGGGGAAATAGGGAAAACTTCAAAACTGGCTACTCCTGAAAATTCGGACGCCGGGCCCGACGACAAACGAAACTACTGCCATTGATAAATCTGATGGGCGGCTGTCTTTTCCTTTGTCGGGCCTGGCCTCCGAATTTTCAGGAGTAGCCAGTTTTCCCTATTTTCCCATGCGGGAAAGGTACAAAAGGTTTTTTTCTTCCTTTTCTTACAGTGCCGCACACTGCGCACAGGTCCAAATAGGCCATGACTCGTGTGCTAGTGGAACCGTGCCCCGGATGTGGTTCCATAGCTCACCGAATGTGCAGAATGATAATTCTTCCCCTATAGCATGGAAAGACACATATACCTCAGGGCCGTCCTTTCAGGGCCCCTCCAGAGTCCTTCAAAAAGTCCTGGCATACTATGTATCTGTCCTCAAACTTGACCAAATTCGATACTCCGCTATAGCAGTCCCTCCCAAATTCCGCGCGGCCCACCCGGTCCCAGTCGGGCCACTCCCACCGCGAATTTTCATGGGCCCGCAACATGCATCACACGATGACCTATCTCCCTTTAGCCGTACACAAGCGGACCCGCTGCGGCGACGCGGCGATGTCACGGCGCAACAGATGGGAATGAGAGAAGACCAAGAGGATGGTGTGTAGCAGAGGGCATGGAAAGGAAAATAACCATGCCACGCCCGCAAAAAAAAAACAAAAAAAAAACACCTCCCGTCGTCTGCCCCTCCTCCTCCTCTTCCTTCTACTCTGCCCTTCCTCCCGTCTTTCCTCCTCCTCATCTTGCTCCCGATCCTCCTCCTCCCACCCATTGTGTTCCCCCTCCTCTCCGCGCCCCTCCTCCTGCAACGCCTCCCGTTCATCGCCCGCCTTCTCATCGTCTCCCCCCTCCTCCTTGCATTCCTTTTCGTGGTTCGTTGTCGTCCCCCTCCTCCTCCACTCATCCCGCCCTCCTGCCATTCTTCCTCCTATTTGTCGTCCGCCTCCTCCCAGTCGTCGTCTTCCCCCGTCTCCTTGCACTCCTTGTGCCACTTGTGCTCCTCCTGTTCGTTGTCCTCCCCGTCCTCCTCCTTTTCCCTCCTCCCGCTCCCCCTCCTGAGCAAAATGGTATGAACATCCAGCTGGAGCATGGAGAGATGCGCAACATTTTTTTGTCCTTCGTGCATGCGCTCCTACTGTTCGTCGTCCTCCACGGTTATCGTTTCCCTCTCTTTCCTCTCGTCATTTCTTCCTTTATTGTTATCATTCTCCTCCTTCCATAGTTGTTCTCGTCCCCCTTTCTCGTTCCTCCTCCTCCTCCTCCTCCTCCTCCGCCCTCTTGCCTCCTTCACTTTCGAAGCACTGACGGTGCATCTCTCCATGTTCCCGCCAAAGATTCATTGCCATTTTGAAAACGGTGTGACAGCTACATCTAATCTCACAACTGAAACAACACAGTCACCTTCTATCATCAGACAGTCAACTACACGGGCATTTCGGACAGCTGCACAGACACCTACAGTGTTCAGGTGTATCTTAGACTGTCAACAACATTGCCAATTCGGGCAGCTGTACAGCTTTGCTAGATGAAGTCTCTAAGTGTGCCGGTACACTCAACTGTATATCCATTCACACAAACAACTACAATGCTCAGGGACGCTGGACCCGTGTTTTTTTTTTTTTTTTTTAATTCAAAACAAAAAAGGGCGACGGCCTTGAGATATTATCATCGAGCTGACCGGCCCCAAGCAATTCATTTGTAGTCGGTTTTACTCGTCAAGATCCATCATGTGGATTCGAACACAGGTTTGTATTTCAACAGTTCATGGGTGTACCCACTGAGCTAGGCTCTTGGGTCGCTGGACCCGTTTTCCAGCAGGTGCTCACACAAACAACTACAATGTTCGGGGACGCTGGACCCGTTTTCCAGCAGGTGCTGCTCCCCACCAATAGATGGAGCCTTCTCGTCAGTGGGGAAAAAAAAAAAAAAAAAAAAAAACGGCGTGATTCGGGTTCCTTTTACACCCGGCAAAAGTAAGCAATAGGTGGGCTGGCGCGGCATGGCGCTCTCTCTCTCTCTCTCTCTCTCTCTCTCACACACACACACACACACACACACAACACACACACACTCACTCACTCACTCACTCACTCACTCAGAGCAGCGTTGTGCGTCGCGACGAAAAATATGGCCGTGCATCTCTCCATGTTCCGGCCAAAGATTCGTTGCCATTTTGGAACCGGGTGAGTCGAGGTTAGCACGCTACGCACTTGTATTCGAACATCAGGCCGCACATACATACCAAACCACGGCCCGACCATTTCCAATTACCTGTTTATTTTTGTCATTCCAGTATTACCGGGAGCCTCGTGGCAGCCACATGCGGGGACCCCGTAGCGGCCACATCCGTGCTCAACCAGAACATGCGGGAACATCCTGGAGCTGCACCCACCAGCAGGTGGGCTATACCGGCCAGGGGTCAGCGGGTAGCATCAGGGCCGAGCTTCTTCCATGGGTCATGGTGCCTCCCCTCTGGTCCCCTCAACCTATGAACATCAGCGGACTCAGGGACCAACGGCTTGTCTCGACGTGGCGGCCGCCGCGAGGAACGTACATGAGGCCAATGGAGATTGAACCCAAGACCTCCTAAAGGCCACTTGCATGCCTTACCAACTGGATCTACGGGCGATTGAACCCAAGACCTCCTAAAGGCCACTTGCATGCCTTACCAACTGGATCTACGCGCAGCCTTCAAACTCGCATGCAGATGGGTGGGTGGGTGGGTGGGGGGGGAGGGAACACTGGAATTTTTGTGGGTATCCCTTTGGTAGGCGCCAAGCTTGCCCAGGAAGGTACATGACGCTAATGGAGATTGAACCCAAGACCTCCTGAATGCCACTTGCATGCCTTACCATCTAAGCTAAGCGGCTGCATCTACGCGCAAACTCTCACGTGGGGAAAAAAAGAAAACACTGCACTTTTTGTGAGTTTCCTTCTGGCCGGTACCTTATCCCCGACCATTTCCCAACATAGGGAGCCCGGCCTCGCCGGAGCGTCATGCGAGACCCGCTGTTTCCTTTCCTTTATAAAGAGTACAGAATAGAAAGCGTATAGAGAGAGAGACTAAAAACAATGAAGAAGTGTCCAGGCATAAGACATGCTCTTTTGTTGCCACAAATCCCATCTTTTGTGACTCTGCAAATGACATTTCTCCCCCCACCCCCTCTTCAATGCAATAGTCTTCCCTCAAATTCTCTCACATTCATCTTTCACTACCTACCCACCGCTACTCCTAAGGCTATACAAGGGACTCCTACAAGCATAGCTACGCCACAATGATTTTTTTGCATGTCGCCCCCTGCCCTAACAGCAGTACTCAGGGAGTAGCTCTCACATTCATCTTTCACTACCTACCCACCGCTACTCCTAAGGCTATACAGGGGACACCTACAAACATAGCTACCCCACAAAGAATTTTTTGCATGCTGCCCCCTGCACTGACAGCAGTAGTCACAGAGAAGGGTGGGGCCGCCGGTGAGGGGCCCGCCCAACACAGAGACCGAGCATTTTGACGGTAGCTGCGCCTCCCTTTCCGTCTTTCCCCACCTCCATAGAGTATTGTTTTGGAGGATGAAAATGCAATAGAATTTGTTGTTTCCCCTGCCATTGACAGGTAAGGGAGATGGGGCACATGAGGGTCACAAAAGTGGAGGAGTATGGGCATTCCCAGCAGGGAGAGAGGAGCAGAGGGAACCTGTTGTGCCGGATCTCCAAGCTTTGCAAACTGAAGGAAGATCTCTAAGTTGGCTATGGCCAGTGGGATATCACCAAGGCCTTGATAAGCCTCAGCCAGTGCACAGCACGCCTTTCCCTCCCCAACCTGCATGGCAACATTTGATGTCAGTGTCGAGTTAGCGGTCATGCTTGTTAACCCTTTTTACTTTGGTTTTCAGAAATGGCCACAGTCTTCTGATACCAACAGGTGACCGGGCACAGGTAATTCAGAGTCTTTTCTATTTTTATAGACAAACATCCATGCAGGACTAACCAATATCCACAGTGATTATAAGAGCAGCCCCCTAGAGTGAGATCCCCCTGTGTAGATGGCTCCAGTCCTGGCGGGGGGCTACACATGCTGAAAAATGGGTCCAGTGTCCCTGATAACATGTATCTAATACTGCGCATTTGAAGAGCGGCCTTGATTGCCCTCCCTTGAGGGGATTAACTGCTTCCTTACAATTGTAGCAATGCTCCAAAAACTTCACCCCCAAAACATTCCAATCCCCTTGCTACTTTTCCCCAGATTTGGCAGGCAGGCAGGCACTTGCTCTTTAGCTGGCAGAACATAAACTCAGGGATTGCAGTTGGTGAATAAGGCAGATCACTGAAAGAACAGACAGAGGACCTGGTTACCTGGGTTGAGGAGGGGAGATGTGAGAGTTTTCGGGAGTGAAGGGGCTTAGGCCTGGATCCTGACCCTCTGGGAAGGGTTATGGGGAACAGCAGATTTCCTCCCAACTGGGCCAGGAGACAGCCAAGTTGAACACCCAGAGTGACAACATCTCTTCCTTTACCAGAGGCGTGAGCGCTAAGAGTGGCTAAACCGGCAAGGCCCTGTGCCCCACGCCCAACGACTTTGGCAGTCCCAAGTCCAACCAATATGGTTCACGTCACCCTGTACTTCAGTGACTGAAGATGAGTGGGCATCGACCCTGTACATAGATATGACGAGTGTGTAAGCATGGTCTTAGATCAAGGGAAGCAATAGGCAGAGCAGAAGCAGGCGGCGGGTTTGAGTGAGGAAAAGGATGGGAGAGTGAGTGGCCAACAACAGGGAGATCACGGGAATGAACAAGGAGTGAGGGGGAGTGAGAGGTGGGTCAACGAGAGAAGGGGAAGCGATCTACAACTGATGAGGGGATAGGCGCGAATCAAGGCAATTAATTGAAGGTGGGTGAGCAGGAGGCGAGTCAACATGTCGGCATCAAGGGAAGTGGAGAGAAGAAGACCCACAGGTGAGGAGGATGAAAGGGGAGGGATGTTTAGGGGGAAAACAAGAGAGGGAGCGGCTGGTAACGGGCTTTAGCATCTAGAGAGGAGCGGAGACACGTCATTTTTTTTTTTTTTTACTTTGGTGCAGGATCCCACTTCAGGAGGTGATAAGAGAAACCACCTTAAGTGGGACCTGCGACAGGCCTATCATATACAAGATAGCACAACTCTTACATACCACAGGCACACATACTACATAGCTTACGGGCACAATATACAGACACATAGCCTACTGGCACATACACAGCATATGGGCACAACACGCAGCTTACGGGTACAACACGCAGCCTACGGGCACAATACAAAGCCTTATGGGCACAACACATAGCCTACAGGCACATACAGCTTACGGGCACACACGTACAGCTCACGGGTGGACACACTGTTCACTACAATGCCAGGGGGGGTACTGGTCCTTGCTAGGGGTGTCATAGACTAGATCTGGGCTTGGACGGACTATCAGATATGCTTGGTAGGGGTTAGGTTCGTATGTGGGGCCGATAGAAACACTGCATGAGCTTGGCGTCTGAAGTACCCGTGAGGCGAGGCTAGCCCGATCATGCTTCAACCAGGGCTGGGTGGTCTTCCTGTCTAGCCCTGGTGCATATAACTGTTGTTCGGTCCACGTCTCCTGAAGGTAGTTTTCAAGAGATTGAAGACCAGTTGGCGGGAAATGCAGTCCAGGAAGAGGTGGACTGCGCTAGCGCTAGCGCTATCGCCCTGACGCCGGCGGACCGGTAGGGCCCAGTTGCCCCGGCTAGACTAGTGCCCGATGAGGGGAGCTCCTCGGCTGCTAGGCCTGTGCATGTGCCCGACATGCGCACATGGCTCCTTGGTTGTCAAGTGGCACCTGTTGTCTGGTGACGTGGAGGTCCCCTGATGCGTGGGCAGGGGTGGTGCCAACTGTGAGATTGATAAGCGTTTCTGAAGAATCGTAATAGTGGTGCAGTTCTTTGGGCGAGAGATGGATGGTGGGGGAGCTACAATGTGGAGTGGAGGACTGGCTGATTACCCTGGAGGAGGGATAACGTGGTGGCTGCAGGCGATTGTGGGGCTGTTGTCTTCGCGGTGGCAGGAGGGGCCAGAGGTCGAAGGGGGGGCAATCTCATTGGCTGAGTGGTTAGATGACATGGCCGAGGACATGTTGGATATCATCTGGGAGCTGGAGGAGGGGCTGGATCCCCAGCTCGAAGCCTGCATCGACTGGAGGGGGGCGTATGACATGATGAGAGCCTGCAAAGCCCTCTTCACTAAGGGTCACGATCTGCATAACCTGTTGGAGGATTGACAGGAGTTGGGCAAGATGGGCGAGAGGGTTGCAGATTGGAAGCTGATCATGACGGCAGGCGAGAACGAAATGGAAGGGGCGCAGGCAGCGAAGATGATAACAGCCGCATCGTCAACAACAACTACAACAACAACATCAGCAACGTCAGCAGTGGCGAAGACAACCACGGTAACAAAACAACGACAACAATAACAAAAACGACAGCGACGACAACCACAGCGGCGATGGCAGTGGTGACGACAACAGCGACAACAGCGGCAGCAGCAGCAGCAGCAGCAGCAGCAGCAACAACAACAACAACAACAACAACAACAACAACAACAACAACAACAACAACGACAACAATAGCGGCAACGGCAGCAACAGCAACAACAACAGTGGCAATGACGATGGCTACAGCAACGAGATCAGCAATGATAATGGCAGTAGCAACATCCATACCAGGACAGTGGGCGAGAATTAGGGGTCTGATGAGGATGATGAGGTGGGGCTTGGGGTTGAATAAGCGTTTTACTATCTTCCCCGCCTTCTGTCCGGTGTTTCTCCCTCTTGATCAGCTCCTCTTCGTCTGGCACCGGGTGGGAGTAGGATAGACAATGTCCCCTTCATTGATTGGATTTGTCCGGCCCTCAATTCCCAATCATGATGGGGTTTTGATTGCCCCCCAGGTGGAAGGTAGGTTGTTTAGGATTTTGTGTGTTGGTTCGACTTGCTTGTTGATGAAAATGTTTTTCGTTAGGTTTAGGCCACAAGGGCAGGAGGTCAATCCTTCCCTAGCGCTGGGAAGTAATCAATGCCTCTGCTCATTAGGGAGATATGGCAGACACGGTGGAAAGGGACTGTGGCTCCATACGACATATACAGATCTTACGAACACATTCACACTGTATTGGATGCTCAGTATGACATCTCCAACACATCATTGTATAGCGATGCTGGACCCGATTTCCAGCTGACACACATCACATTATTGTATAGGGACGCTGGACCTGGTTTCCAGCAGGTGCAGTTCCCCACCAATAGATGAGCCTTCAACGCTGGGGCCCACTTAATGAGGCCGCTATTATCACCTCGTTAAGTGGGTTTTCCCACATACGAAGCTCTCTTTACAAAAAAAAAAAAAAAAAAAAAAAAAAGAACCCTGGCGGGGTGATAGTCCTGAGTGATTAACACTGAGGTAGGATAATGGCAATAGGGAAGCGCTGGGAGAATTGACGAGAGGATGGGTAGGGAGGTCATCTCACAAATAAAAGATTGTCAGGACAACCAATGGCTGACTGATGACTGCTACCACTGTATGTCTGGAACCTGGCATCTACAACAACGTGGCCTTTTAATTACCCAAAAAAAAATAAGTGGGACCTTCGAGGAAGGCTCCATTCCATCTATTGGTGTGGGGCATTACCTGCTGGAAATCCGGTCCAGCGCCCAGTACATTGCAGTATTCAGATCAAGCACAGAGTTATTGAAACCGAACGGGTGCCCCCTCCTCCCCTCCCTACAGGAAACATCACCCCCATCCACTCCTTTCCCCCCCCCCCCCCCCCCCCCCCCCCCCCCCTCCCTCCGTGTACTTGAAGAACGGCTGGCAAACCCCCACGCCCTCCCCTCCAAGGCGCTGCCCTGTCTAATTCTGCCAAGCTCAAGACCTGGCCAGGCCGCACGCAGAATTGGAAAGTACAGCGCAGCCAGCTGCAGATGTGAGAGCCAAATAGTCGGGAAAAGGCCTACTGGCTGCTCGTTAGTGAGACAGATTCCCTGTTCCATTATATCACTACAGAAAGGCAAGAGGCATTCATTATTTCCCCAAAAGGAAGCATTGACCTTTTCGCCCGATTTTTCATGAAGTAATTCCTCAAAACCAAACCATTGGACAGCATGTTAAAAACTTCAGCCACCCCCTTCAAACCTAATGCCATCAGAACTACCTTTCACTACTGACCTCATTCTAAACAGCCTCGACCTTCATAGGGAATATGTACAGACTGGGAAGGAGAGTAGTGATTTGGGCTCTTTGGTGGCAGAGGTGCACCCTGGCCATGGAGAGGGTGCGGGTGGAAGGGGTGGAAGTTCTAGAACAGATACAGCAGCAGATTCACCTTGAGCTTACGCAGAGATGGTTGGACACAAGATCTCAATTAGACCCTTTCAAACAAATTGGAGATGTCAGGACACGGATAACGACTTTTGCACAGACCGGGTGGGTGGAGAAAGAGAAGGATGGATCGCAAAAATTGAATGGAGTGGGGACAAGGGAGTTGGGCCGTATGATTTGGAGCAAATAAGAGACTATCATCTAATTTTTAAGGACTGGACTAACATAGAGCCCTTCTTCCCTCGACGCCCTCCCTCGGATTTTCCGGAACCCTTTCCTCCTCATGCCCTGTCTCTAACAGAGATTCTGTCTTCAGCGTAATACTTTCCTTTGCAAACCTCACAGGCTTTCACAAAGCGGAACACCTCCCTGGAGCCCCCGGGGGAGGACCCCACCAATGGCTTTTTCTATTCTATTTTCTGTTGAGGTAGTCAATGCTGACCTAGAGTATTCTGGAAGCAACTGAGCATGAGGGTTCTGAATGCAACTGAGCATGGTTTTGGAGTGAGTTGCTCCCCTGATTAGTATCAGTCCCTAGCTGTCTATCTGACACCCTTCTTATAAGGGTGAAGAGATACAAAAGGGATTGGCTGCCCTGCATGCTCACACAAGGCTACTTTGCTGGATATTACACAGGACCTGCTCAGTCAATCCCCTGGGTTTCAGGGCAATCAATGCTGGCAGACTCCATAGCCACTATTTTCATAGGGTCTGCTCAGTCAATCCCCTTTTTTTTGCAGGGTAATCAAGACTGGCAGATCTCACTCAAGATATTTTTCATTCAAGGGACACTGGACCCGTTTTCCAGCAGGTTACGCTCCCCACTAATAGATGGAGCCTCTCCCCAGGTGTTAGTGGTGTCTGCTCTTACCAGCAGCACTAACACTGGTGGGGGGGTGTTTAAAAAAAAAGAAGAAAAAAAGAAGAAAAAAGTAGAGGACCAGGTGATAACGTCCCCACTCCTGTCGCCCATCGCACGTCACTTTTGAGCACAGCACAGCAAATCACGCTAGCGGTCCGCGTTATAAGGGAAGCAGGGAGGACTATTGGAAGGCAGAGTGAACCCTAGTCGGCCTATATTCGACAGGCGGGGCATAATTCTGCAGTGCACTGTTTCTTCGGGAGAGGTTCGCCCAATTCGTGAATGCACTCACTGCCACCGGAAGGAAATTCGAAATCACTTTTGAACCACCGTCGTGCTTCCCGTCTCGTCCCTCCTATGTAACAGGAGCATGTGCCTCTCTGGACAGGACGACAACCCTAGGACACACGAGACCAACTTTTTTTTTTTTTTTTTTTTTAAAGGTAGTTTGTTATACAAGCCAGGAAACGGGCCCGACATCCCTCACATATGTGCAGGCGGCTCACAATTATGAACGAGGCATCACCGGCCAAGCCCACATCGGGAGTCGCAAAACCCAAAATAACAAAAGAAAGAAAACAACTGGGAAGTCTGCAAAGCAAACCATCGCCTCTCTTTCTAACACAGATTGTACTCAGACTGTATGTCTCCTTCATATCCAAAACACGCTACCAAAAAATGTGAGGCAATCGGGACCCAAAAGGTGGCCAACTCCCGTCCCATTACATTTGTAATTCCGTACCGAAAAACAAAAAGAAAAACAAACAGAAGAACAATGAAGACCGAAGCAGAAGGGCTTTCTTTTCTTTCTTTTCTCTCTCTCTCTCTCTCTCTCTCTCTCTCTCTCTCTCTCTCTCTCTCTCTCTCTCTCTCTCTCTCTCTCTCTCTCTCTCTTTTCTAGCTTCTTCTTCTTCTTCTTTTTTCCGTTCTCAAAAGCCCAGGCTGTTACTCACAAGCTTCACAGAAAAAACTGGATCAGAACTATCAAAAGTCAATTCTTTTTTGTTTGTTTGTTTGTTTGGAAAAGGACTCAGATCTATTCGTGGGGAGCGGCACGTGCTGGGAACTGGGCCCAGCATCCCTCATGAAGTCATACAGAACAATTACAGAATAGTTTGGGGATACATGGGCCATTACCTGGCTTCGGCTAAGAATGTGATTTGAGAAAACAGTAAGCTAGTGCTCCTCTATGCTGGAAAAGGGGTCCAGCGTCCCAGACCTCACTCCCCAAACCAGGGCCCGTGCCCGAGAGGCTTGCTTTCCTGTCCGTGAGGGGAGAGGAGCCTGGCTGTTGGCCCAGGGGCACCCGACTACAGGCCACAGGCTATCCCTCCCCCCCCCCACTCTCTTCCCTAGCCCCTATTGACCCTGCAGAATTTCCACCAAACACAATGGGTGAGGAGGGAACGGGTCTGCGAATTCTGATGCCGGCCTCAGCGCTATGCTGGGGTCAATCGTTGTCCAGCGGACAGCTGATAATCCCGTGCCATCCCCGCCTGTGGGACGTCTGCGTCCCCCCCTTGCCCCTGCGCATCCCCTGACCAGGTTGCCTCTGCCATCCATCCCCCCCGTGTCCCTCCCAGCCACCCCTCTCCAAGGTGGGAGATGATCCTGTTGACGTCCTTTCTTGACGAAGCTCATCCTTTCCTTGGCCATCTGCCATTGGTAAGTAAGCTCCGCCTGTATCAATTGCTTCACCTGCTCTGCAACCTCCCCCTCTGCGACCCTCGCACCCTCAAACACCCGGATGCACCTCTGCCACCAGATTACCCATATGATCGTCCTTATGCCCAACCAGAACATCTTCTCTTGGAAGCAATTGTATGGCTGTGGGCCCAGTGACCCATCAGAATCGCCACCAGTCCCATGGAAAATAAGATCCTGGGACTGCTTGCTGCCCGATCCTGTCCGACCAGCACCATAACAGTACAGACAAAGGTCATTGCATGAACATGTGTTCAATTGTTTCTGACTTTTTCTGTGGGGGGAAACTTTGAAGACACCTGCTGCACCAGGGCAGTGCGCACCCCTGCTGTTCCAGGTTCATGTGGTCTATCAGCCACTCATTGGTCGGCAGGCAGCGGTGCGCGATCTGCCACTGCAAGGAGGAGATTTTTGCTGGCCTTAGCTTGTATTCCCCGAACGATTGGGTGGGTTTCAGCAGACGTGCGTCAACGTTGAGGTGTGGGTTTCAGCAGACATGCATCAACGTTAAGGTGCGCTGCCACCTGCCTTCCACCACATCCCTCAAGGCCCTCTTACATCTGCCTCAGGGGTCTACAGGCTCTAGTCCTTTCATGTGATTATTGCGTCCGTCACAGCGGGCCACAGATGATCATAATTGTCTCTATCTTTTAGTGATCAGAGTGCAGCTAATGATGGAAGGCCAGAGTCAGGACTACATGGAAACCCGCAGGCGACACACCAAGAAAACGAAAGGAAAAAAAAACTCGCCAGGGCAGCTGATTTTGGAGGGAGGGAAGGTTAAAACACCTCCCAAACCCTCGTTTGACTTGCAATGAACCCAGATCGCGAAGACACTTGTCAACGATGCCAGCCCATATAGATAGCAACCT